TGCGCCGCGCTCCTCTCAGGCGAGCGAGCCCCGCGGCGCCGGAGGTGGAGCCGGGCCGGGCCGGGCCGGGCGGGCTGCTTCGACGGACGCACCTGGCTCGTCCTCCGGTTGCTGAAGTAAATGTGATGGTGACAATGGCCGGCGCTGTTGACAGCGGCTGTTGAAGCCGTTCGGGCTGAGGCGACTTATGCGCTTTCGCGGGGCCTGAGGCAGGTCCCCGGGGTGCGGATCTCCCCTGCCTGCTGCTTGCTTATTCAGGTCAGCCTGGAAGAAGGAGTGTAGGTGCAGGCACCAAAACCTGCATTTTGGTAATAAAGGTTTGAAAGCAAGTGGTGGGGCAGCTTCTTGCTTTGCTCGTGTGAGAAGTATCATAACACCAAAGCAGCCTGGGACCCGCTGTCCTTCCCTCTGCTGTCACACAAAGGCAGAACTAGTGAAACAAGCATCTGGAGAAAAAGGCCTTTTTGCTAGATCTTTGGGAATTACTAATTTTCAGCTGTTCTGAACAAGTTGCCTTGTATTAAGTCAAGCAGGTGAAAACTGTTTTTAGGATTTTCAGTATTTAAAAAAGAAAATGTGATGCAACTGCTGTGTTTAGTTTTAGTTTGTTCAAATAATTAATAGATATAGCATGTAGACATAGCTGCTGAATACCATTGATTTGTTCCTTTGTCCAGAGGATTAGTTTCATAAGAGTTGGCTTGTTGGAAAACGCCTATTGAGTCATCCAGTCAGTCTCCCACAACTGCTGCTGTATATGCTGTAAACCTGTCTATTCTGACATCCCAAGTAACAAGAGAATCTTAATTGCTAAATCTCAGTGAACACGCATATACAATCAGTTTACATGTCCTTTCATCCGTAAAAATTGTGTGTATGTGAATTACTTTATCCACTTCTGAAACATAGCTACTTTGTATGTGGGGACTACTTATTAGACAGCTTATTCGTACCATCTAAAGTACCAAATGATGGTAAGGACTGACGTCAATTAAATTAATACAGTCAATTAAAAATGAAGATGGGGTATTGAGTAGGCCAAAAAAAGAGTGATTAAGTGTGTTTGTCACCTCAGTAGTTACCTAAATACTACATCTCAACCCATAGATGGTACAGGTACTGCTCACATAATGTCATCCCGGTTAATGTTGTTTTGTTATTACATCACTGATCTATTAGAGAACATACTCATTTAAAGTCGTGCAATGTTCAGTTATAACGCTGTTTGGCTGCTACCTGATGGTAGGGTAACTACTGTGGCGTAATTGGGTTTGCTTAACATCGTTTTGCTTAGTCGCATTTTTCAAAAACGCAATTACGACATTAAGCAAGGAGTACCTGTAACTGCAGCAGCACATCTTAAATACGTGAGTGGGTATTGATTTATTGCAGTTGTGTATGGACAGTGGGATTGAGTATGTGCTTAGCAAATTTGAGGACAACACCAAGTTGTATAGAGCTGCAGGCATTTTGCAGGGTAAGCGTATTGTCCAGAATGACCGGGATAGACTGGATAAATTATCCAGAATTGATCACATGAGATTCAACAAGGGCAAGTCTTGCACTTGGGACGGAATAATTGTGTGCACAAATATAGACTGGAGTATGACTGACAAGGCTGCAGTAATTTGGGGAAGGACCTGGTGTTTTTGTGGTCCATAAGTTGAATAGGAGACACAAAAGTGTTCCTTTTGCAAGAAAAACAAACAGTACAGTATGGTGGTTTGCATGAACAGCAGTGTCACTTGCAAATCAAGGGAAGTGATTCTTTCAGCACTTGTAAGGCCTCACCTGGAGTACCCGTGTTCAGTTTTGGGCCCTGAACTTCAAGAAGGATGTGGATAAGTTGGAATGAGTCCAGTGGAGAGTGACAAAAATGATTAGGGGCCTGAGAAGCATGATTTAGGGAAAAAAAATTAGGAAAAGCTGAAAGAATGAGGGTTATTTAGTCTGGAGAAGAGAAGACTGAGGAGGGATTTGGTAAGTCTTCAAACATTTGAAGGGTGATTATAGAGAGAATGGAGAGAGACTGTTCTCTGTGGCCATACAGGACTACACTATAAGAAATGACCTTAAGCTGCTGCAGAGGAAACTTACATTGGAGATTAGGTAGAACTTCCTGACTATGAGGGTGGTCAGACATTGGGACAGGCTGCCTAGAGAACCTGTGGAATCTCTATCCCTGGAAACCTGAAAGCAAGTTTGGCAGACACTTGGCTGGGATGGCTTTGAGAAGGTGGCTGGACTAGATGACCTCATGTGGTCTCTTCCAGCCATACTTTCCTGTGTTCCTAAACTGGGTAGCCAAAAAAAGATCAATTGGTGGACCATATCTGGCTCGCTGGTGGGAACCTGAGGAGGGAGGGCTGTGCCTTGTGTTGTTCTGCTGCAGCTGGGGTTGGGCCTGACCACACAGCATGCAGACTTCTCTGCTTCCCCTCCACCCCCTACATCTGGCTCTCCGTTGGTGTTGTGGGGTGGAGGGGCTCCACTCAGGGCGGGCCTCTGACTTTCCAGATGTGGCCTGGCTCATTGCAGCGGGCGGGTGGGAGGGGCAGCTATATGACATGCTGCATTACACCCTGTCCCATGCAGTTCTGGTTGTTGATGGCCATGGTGTCAGGACTACACAGCACCAACAGCAAGCTGGGGTGTGGGGGAGGGCATGCCTGCATTGGGGAGGGGATGAGTCAGTGTGGCCCCAGCTGCCAGAGTGAAACAGTGCTGGACACAGCCTTCCTTCAGGCTCTTGGCAGATCAATTAGCATCTTCCTGCTCCTCCTTCCCTGCCCTCAACAGGTCACCAAAACTCATTAAGTGGCTTTCCAGACCAAATACTTGCCCACTCCTGTCCAAAGTCATCAATAGAGTTCTCTGTAGAACTTGGACTTTCCTTTGGGGTCTTCAGTCCTTTTCTGATACCTTTTAGTGTGTAGAATTGTGGAAGCAAACTAAATGTTTAGAGCCAAACAGTACAGGAAAGGATTACAGCAGCAGGTATGGAGGTAATTAACAACAACAGTTGGTCAAGTCAGGCAAAGCATCAGCTTCCATTTCAAAACATTATGAAATAATTTTATATACGTCCTTTATTGTAAGCTTCATCTTACAGATCTATGAAGGTCAACACTGATTCTGTTTAGTCCTTAGCTGCAACAGACATGTTTCTCTTCCCCCACGTTCCTTCTTAAATTGATTTAAACCTTGCTTTTATTTTCATAGGATTTTTACAACTGGCCTGATGAATCCTTTGAAGAAATGGACAGCACGCTTGCTGTTCAACAGGTATCTTTACTTCTAAGAAATATTTTCCATGTTTAATTCTCCAAGTAGTTGTGATCTTTTTAATATGGAAAAGGCCATAGGGCATGTTCTCTGGCTGCTACCAGTTTAGCTTTACAAAATAATGTACAGTTTCACCAATCAAACTTAAAAGCAAAGGCTTTATTCATTCTCTTACTATTTTTCATTCAGTGAAGATATTTTATTATTTACTTGCTGTATCTTGGGCCATCTTCTTCTACCTACCATAATTCTTCTTGTTCTTTTACTTTAGTCTGTCAGTTTAACTGTTTTTCTAGTTAGATGTACTGCTATTTGCCTTTCTCTTATCCTCTGTGAATCTGAGAGGTCCAAAGAGCTAACAGTAAGGGGCCAGTTCTAAATATGGAGTCCTAGAATTTTTGAAGGATACTTAGAAATTATTAATCTTTCTTCTCAGTATATCCAACAAAATATAAGGGCAGACTGTTCCAACATTGACAAAATTCTTGAACCTCCTGAAGGCCAGGATGAAGGTGTGTGGAAATACGAGCATTTAAGGTGAGAATTTTTGTTTCTGTCAAAATACAGGATCTGGAAACCCAGCTTCTTGAATTGTATTAATAGGAATCTTTATAATGGTCTGAATTTCATATTATAAATATATTTGTTATGTTTCTGTAAAAAGTTATATCTACAGAACATGGTACTGTTAAACCTTTTAAGATTAATTTATTGTCAAGTTATGAGGTCATATTTGTGACTATTCCCTTAAACTCCCAACTGTGTTTAATGATTTGGCATGTTGAGTATTTTAGTGTTTGTCTTGTTTAAAAAATATATTTTTAGTTTGCTTCAAAGAATGTGTCAATGTATTTTGGACTGAAAGAACAGCAGTGAATTTGCATAGCATTTTCTTCTTTACTTGTTGAATTCCTTTTCCAAACTAAAATTTAGTTAATCAGTTGCTAGAAAAAAGCAGTTACTATGGTCTTATTAATGAATGTACTGAATTCCTGCCAGGTTCCTGTTGGTTTGTACACAAAACACTATGGATATTTAATAATCTGTTAAAGCTTTATCAGTTGCTTCCAAAAATATGTGTAAAAGTTTAAAAGGCTATCCCTTCCTGAGTAGGATCTTGTTAAGTCAGCTAATGCTCAAAGCATTGTTGAACCAGAAAAGCTGAAGAGTATCCAAGACCTATACAGGAAGGCCCTAGGGGTTACTCACGGGTGTGTGGGGACGGAGTGCCGCTACCCACCACCCTGCGCTGCCGCCTCCCAGGAGCAGGGCTGGGGCAGGGTGAGGGCAGTGGCGCCCCTTTGTGGGCCGCACAGGCACCGCCTGGGTGGTCGGATGCAGGGGGGTGGGGAGCTTGCACGTAGTGACGGGCGCTACTGCCATCCACCACCCCACGCTGACACTGCTCCGCATTTAGCAGTGCATCATCCCCCTCCCTTTCTCCCACCTACTCCATGTCCGGCCATCAGGGGTACACTTATTAAAAGAGGTTAAAAACCCCTGACACAGATGATCAACTGCTTCATTTTAGAGAATTATCTTATTTTGGTGATGCGTGCATATAAGTGTGCATAGCAGAAATCTCTGACTACTTATTTTACTCTATCACAATCACTCTAATTCTTAATTAGTGAGCACTCTGAATTTTTGTAGTAAGAAACTGTGTGCTATCTATGTAATCATGCTTTGGCACATAGCAAGACCAAGGGCATATCATTTGTACTCGGAATTTTTAGTGTATTTTTTCTTTACTTTAGCTTGAGAACCTGCAAAATGCATACTATGAAAAATATCAAATGGCCAGCTACTGCTTATTAGTCACCCCTGGATAATTAGTCATAATTATCACTCTCCTTGAAGTGATAAACCTGACTTTACTGTATGACTGTTGTAATAGCCAGATTTTAGAAGCTCTCCAGCTTTAATCATATGTCAGAAATAGCTGGACTTTCTAGTATTAAATCCAAAATTTTGTTTTAGCCACAAAGACTACATATTTCTCACCTTATGTTAAACATTATGTTCTCAGTTATTGTTCCAGTTTTTTCAGAGGAATTAAATTATTAGGATAACATTTTTGCCTTCTCTTTTGTGTCATAGCTGTTTTATGGTTTAAACTGGATACCTCAGAGACATAAGTAGCATCTGTGTTATTGTTTTTTATGTTATTGTAGAATAGTTTCAATATTCTGCTTACCATTTCCTCTTTTTCCTGTTTTGGTTTTTGTATTATTTTGCTATATTTAGTATTACAGTGTCCAGGAAAACAAAATAGGGTTTTTTCTGCCCCTCTTAGTTTTACTTGTTTAATTCTATCAACTACTTTTTCAGGAATAAGAATAAATTTGATCTGGTAATTTTATCCTTCCCAAACTTATTTTGATCTACTTGGGGGGGGTTGTTTTTTTTTTTAAGCTGATCATTTTTCTTTCAGGCTTAATAATCTCTAATTAGGAGACTATAATTTGTAGAGGTTGAGCACTTATTTTAATATGGCCATACAGACTCCTAGAAGCCTGAGTCCTATTTTTGAAGTACCATGGACAGTTACAAAAATTATATCTTAATTAGTATGCCCTAAGCACTGAACATTTAAATTAGCTATGAGGACATGCCTGAGAGTGAGGCTATCAGTTTTCCCCTGTAGCTCCTTTGTAACACATCAGCTCCAGCTGGCTTAAGTTGTGGTATTCCTGGAAGTCCCAGTCCAGCATCTTGGCTGATTAGGAGTGCAGCTGAGTCCACAAAATTGGATTTCAGGCTATGTAACACAATAACATAAGCAACATAATTAACAGTAAAAGTGGCAAAAGGACTGATTTAAGGAAAGGAATCACTTTTTTTTTATAGTGTTGCTGTATTTAAGATGGGTTTTTGGTTGTAGCTGTGTTGGTCTAAGGACATAGGCAGGCAAGGTTCTTTGGGTAGATGTGATATCTTTTATTAGACCAACTGAGTAGCTGGAAAAAAGAGAGACTTTCTGTGCCTGAAGAAGGGCAATTGAGCCTGAAAGCTTGCAAAGAACTTTTTCCCAGCTACTCAGTCTAATAAAAGATATCACATCTACCTAAAGAACCATGCCTGCCTGCTGTATTTAAGGACATTTACATTTTTTCCGATCAAGAAGTAATAGCAAAGGCAAATAAGTAAAATGTAGACTTTCCTATAGGAGGAAAAACTTAATTCAATTTGACAAATAAAAATTAGAATACAGGTACATGACTTGTTCTGAATAAATAATAGATTAAATATTCTTTCTTCTTTTTGTATTCCTGTCACCTTAGTCTTCCCTTGCTTTTGTTCTTACTGCATGCACTCTTCCCAGTGTATTTTGCATGTTTTCTCAACTATGTGATACCAGTTGAAATTATTTTTAATAGCTGTTTTTTCCTCTTCTACTTTTTCTGCCCTAGAATATACCCATGTACTATAAACTGATCAAAACATTTAACACTTTGTTGTTATAATGCTTCCAGTAGGGAAACTGTTCATTAGTTTTGACCCTGTTGCATTTACATTTTTAGACAATTTTGTCTCGAGCTCAATGGACTTGCTGTCAAGCTTCAGGTAACTCTTTTTGTGTTCTTAAATTTTGTTTACACCTGTGTTAAAGACCAGGTTGTTTTTGTATTTAAACTATAAAGCTAGTTTTCAGAGATTTCTAACTCTTAGCTCATGCATTTGTGGTTGCCAGTGATTTTTAGAAACATAGCTTTAGGATGCTAGAAGACTTCAGTTGATCAAGTAGTTTAGGATTTATTTTTTCTTTTACTTTTTAAGGAATTAAAAATGTTTAAACATAATAATAAATCTTGCTTTAACTGTTGGCATTTTTTAATTAACTGAACAATTATTTCAACAGAGTGAGTGCCACCCAGACACATGTACTCAGATGACAGCAACTGAGCAATGGATTTTTCTTTGTGCTGCCCATAAAACTCCCAAAGAGGTGAGGATGTCTTTGGAAATACTTCCTGTAAAGACTCAAATATTTTGTTTCAGGGAACATGTGTGCTTGGGGTGGGGAGAGGCATTAGCTAAATTGAAGGGTTGCTTGTTTTCCATATACTCCCTAAGAAAAGAAGAGCAGGGGAAGAGTTCTTTACAATGGTGCAGACCATTGCTTTTTCTTCATATGGATGAAATCCTGGAAGCATAAAACTGTGTTATTTTTCTTTGGCAATAGAAACCCCTTCATTTTCCAGCTTCTCTGACATGGTCCTGTTGGTTTTTAAGAAAGTTTAGAACAAAATTGGATTTGTTTTCCTGAACCGATCGCAGAATAACTGGTGTAAGTACTTACATCATGCTGGCCTTGTTTGGATACTACTAAAACACTAGCATTCTTCCAGCTTTTTGGAATTTCTACATTATTCAAAGTTTTCTTAAAAATGAACATTGTTGAGCCCTAGTTCTACTCAGCCAGTTATCTCAAGATTCTTGGATCCAGGCTCTCCACATCTTCTGAGTTGAAAATGTTTATCCCTAGGAGAATGTTAAGTAACATCATCTCTTTATTCAGTAATAGGCTGGAAAGTATGTCATCATCCTCATGTGACATAAGCTTATCATCCCACATCTTTTCAAATATAGGACAAAATTTTTATTGAACACTTCTCTCTTTTTCTATATAATTACTAGTTGTTTTACAGTCTTTACTCATTGCTAATGTTTTGTTTTTTAAGTACTTTAAAACAAAACAAAACTTAATTTTGTCTAGCTCTGCTAGTTATGGGTCTTTCTGTGACGTCTTTAGCTTGCATTATCAATTTGTTTCACTTGACTTTGTTTTGATTGGTAGCTGTTTCTTCTTTTTACCATTTTACCAAGTTGCTCTCATTTTTTTTAATGGCTGCATTCATATTGCTGTTGAACTAGATTGGGCTTTTAGCTAGTTGCCCTCCTTGATTATGAAATAATGTTTTTGGTCATCTTATAGGCTTCTTAAAAATAATTAATGTATATATTTTTCTTTTTTCCCTCCCCAGTTTCAGTCGTCATTTTTCTTGGCTTTGGGAAAACGGTATTTTTTAAGTACCAACTGTGTGTGTGGGTGAACTAAGGACTGTCCTCTGTCCCCACTGAATACAGTTAGCTTGTGATTGATGCTTTCATGTGTTTCTTCTAGTACTAATGATATGTATCTTTTATCTCTAGCATTTGAGGTTCAATAGGTGTAATAGGAAAAGGAAAAAAAGTACAAAATGTTAACTGGAATTGATCTTGGCATGCTCTCAAGTGGTTTTAATATAGTTTGAAAGGTAAATTGTCAGACCAGAACTGATTGAAATATACATAACCTTCGAATTCTTTTTCTAGGACCTAAGGCCAATAATGTTCAGTTAAATACAGAAAATCAGAAAAATCCCTTTTATGGGGTGTTAAACTCGTTTGAAATACTTCTCAGTAAGTGAGATATATCACTAATCCTGTTGATACTACATGATGAAAGTGCTTCCCTCCCATTCCTGAATACTTTGTGAGCATCCATATGTTTTTCATTTTTAAAAATATATTGGATAATAAATTATTTTTCTGGCTTGGTCAGCTATGATACAAACCAGGACTGGCTTTTGTGTATGAGGCAGGATAATGACAGTCAAAATACTCATAGTCTCTGGTACTTCTGCTTTTCCAGTTTGTTTCCTCTTTCATACAAAATTTCTGGGGATGGTTCTTTGTAGAGAGGGTTCTTAATTTTGCTCTTTTTGACAGAGGACTTCTGCGTTGTATCCCTTCAATAATTATGCTTTAAAAAAGATGTAGTGCCTTACCCTTCTTTTTCTAAATTTCTTATAGTGCCCTGCCATAGACTACACCAGGCATACACTTGATGGGGCTGCATGTCTTCTGAATAGCAATAAATATTTCCCCAGCAGGTAAAAATCTTTAAAAAAATAAGTCACTTCATGTTAATTAGAAGATTTTGTTTGCAGTGCAGCATTCCAGTGCTAGGTAACATAGTATACTAAAAATAGTAAAACATAAAATACAATATACTAGAAAATTTAAATGTGGCAATCTATCCACAATTGAAAAGCTCCTGTCAATAGCAGCTTTGAGAAAAGATGCATATTTCTAAGAGGATATATTTTCAATCTAATTATGTAGTTGTTCCCCACCCTCTCCCCATTTGTATCCCAAAGCACTAGGCTGCCAGTTGAGAATCATGCCTAGGTAGAGGGAAGGAATGGCAATGGCTCAAGATACCTGCCAGCACTATAGTCTGTTTATAAAAAACCTGCAGCAAGCTAGTATGGCTTCACAAATAGGGACAGCGCAGTGCACATCAAGTACATTCCTAAGGTAACCTCCATACCAGATTATGGAAACTTGACTAGAAAAATAAAAGCTTGTCCCTCTGAGGAGGAACCTCCATGTAGTCAAGTGATCTGGTTGGGGTGAGAGGTGGACCTGGCATTTCCCCATGTCAGAAATGAGGAATCTAGCCCCAACTAGACTGAAAGCTTGCAGAAGGAGCCAACTCGCTATTTTTTTTTCCTTTTACTAAATGCTTTCAGCAGTGAATAAATATTAAAAACATCAGTCGTCTATAAAAACTAATGGGTGACATTTCCATGCAGGATTATTTAATCTGGTGTAGCAAAAAAGTAATTTTACATACAAGTATTTACTCAGAAATGTTTGTGTGCTGATTTCTTTAGGTTTGTCAAACTGAATACTTTCTGACATTTGACTTGCTGCTTACAGGGTTAGCATAAAGGAATCTTCTGTAGCCAAATTAGGATCAGTGTGCCGTAGGATTTACAGAATATTTTCACATGCTTATTTTCATCATCGTCAGATATTTGATGAATATGAAGTAAGTATTTGAGCACTTTCTGTATTAATACTCTTTATAATTATGCCCAGCATTGCTCTTCTGCAACTGTTGTATCATTTTGTAACACTTCCTACAAAGTACACTTCTAGCCAAGAAGTGTACAAATCATAACACGTGTAACAACTGAGAAATTCTATATTGTGAAGAATTTGTGCCTTCAGATTGGAAGGGGAGGTTAAGAGGAGTGGGTGGCAGTAGAAGCCTGAATTGTAGTACAATGTTTAGCAGGTCCATCAAGCCATTTGGGAGATGGTTTAGTTTCTTGAGCTAGGGAAGATTATGCATAGAGGAAACCACACTACTATAGTTTAGGTCACTATCTTGAGTTAGATTTTGACTTTGAATAATGCACCATGATTTAGTCCAAACCAAATTTCCTAATTGAAATGCAAAATGTAAATATGTATAATGCCTGATGGCATTCTTTAGTTATGTGGAAGCTTTATATGTTCCTGAAACTTACAAAACCAAGGGTACCATTATTAATCCACCAGGATTTTTTTTCATTACAAACTTCCCATGCTTCAGTTTGAGAAATTTCTTCTCTGCATATATCAGAATGCATTTTGTTGGACTTTTAAATAAGATTTTTTTTCCATTTCCAGAATGAAACCTTCTTGTGTCACCGGTTCACTAAATTTGTAATGAAATATAATCTGATGTCCAAGGATAACCTGATTGTACCAATTTTGGAAGAAGAAGTGCAGAACTCAGTGTCTGGGGAAAGTGAGGCATGAAGGGAATTTGGTACAGAAAACTGTACTGAACACATAATTAACATAATTATGTACTGTATATATCATTTTACACACTTCAATCATGTATCCTTATAGCTTTGTTTAGTATACACTTTGCTGTGTTGTTGCTTTTTAATATGGAAAGTACTTTAAGTTATTCATGAGCTGTATATTCATCAATGTGGCACTCATGGTTTTTAAATAAAAGTAGCATTATCTGTTTATAATGCCTGTTAATAAAAGAATTTACAGTTCTGTAAAACTGCTGCTAAACAATCATTGGATTACAATCCTCAGATATCTGATTAAAAATGAGTGAAGTTTAACACAAGCCATTTTCTAATGAAGTAGCAACATTAGCCTTATTTCTGAGTTTAATACCTTAAATTTAGAATCCTGCAGGAAGCTTCATGTAGTGTAGCTTAATCCTAATCTTGGCTCTGTCTTTTAAAGAAGAGTACTCTTGCTTAAAAGATTTACTTGTGCTTTTGGATGTGCATATGTACTGCTAACAATTCTGGTGTGTGTATATCCAAATATTAAATGTAACTACAGTGTTAGTAATGTCAAAAGGATAGATTGACTATGTTATCAAAACTGTAATCTTGCTACGTAGGAGATGGTCAAGTATTTTCTAGACTTGCCTTTCTGTAACGATGGAGGCTTGTTGGCATTGCTGAGGGGATGTGTTCTGTCTGATATAGGCAAAGAAACATTTCTGCTCTTCTATCTACAGCTTCTCAAAAGAATAGCAGAGTCTGAATATAACTTTTTCTTGCCTATTGTAAAGCACATAGCGGTTTATATCTGGACACATTTGTGGTTATTGCTTACAGATTATACCTCATGTTAATACTATTCATATTTACACTACAGAACATATTATAATCTTGTTTACTTTCCTATCTAAAGTATTTCAAATGCTTTGAAAATAGAACCCTTCCTACATTTGTTATAGTTTGATCATAGTCTGTCTCATCACGAGACTCTTTCCTTTCATCCATTCATTTGGGTTTCACCTCAGAGGTGAAAAATCTGTGGTTGAATTTCACCCCTTTCTCCAATGCTTACTTTAAGCTATTTGCAGATTTGCAACAACTCAAGTTCCATGAGTGCTGCTTAATGGTGTTTGAACTGTTCCAAATTCAATAGAATTAAATGTTAAAAAAAAGCTATTATAGCAGACTTATTATGAATAGTGTACATGAATGCAGAGTCTGAAAACATTGGCAGTTTTCTTATTAAATGGCTTTTGTTTAGATGTTCAAAATAGTTTTAAAGTACATTTGCTCTCCTCAGATGGTGTGTGGGCCTTGTTGAAACATGTCAGGGTAGGCCTTAGTGGCTGCTGAGTTGTGAAAACAAACAAACAGAGCTTTACCAGAAAAGAAAGTGCATTAGTTTGACCCGGCTCCCCAGCTTTATAGATTGAGTGTTTCAGCGGGGTTTTTTGGTGCTTTTATATAATAGCCATCTCAATCAACCATTGGAGAAAAGTGCCAAAAAGTCCCACTGAAGTGCCTGATCTATAGAGAGGTGGGGTGAGCCAGGTCAAACTAATTCAGTGCCTCTTCTGGGCGCGCACACTGCTCAGTGCAGGGGCACACCAGGCTGAAAGTAAAGTGGTTTTGTTTGTTTTCATATCTGTAAGCAGCTAGTGTGGCTAACTGTTTATAGAACTTCCACTTCCTCTTGAAATTTTGCTTCCTTGGAAATGAGAGTTCATTTATTTTTAGTAGTTTATTTTTTGTGACGTACTGATCATGCCTTATGTAATTCTATACAAAATATTACAAGTTAAGCACATCTTAATTAGCTGTACCACCTGGATCTAAAGGGAACTTAAACAATGAGGAAATGGAGAGACTGAGGTCTTAAAGTGCTCTCAGTGCTGCGTTTTTTGGGCAGCTATTTTGTCTTCAGTTTTAAAATTGTATTTAATGGTCAACAGGGTTATTGCACAAGATGCGATTTTAGTGACAAAAGCTTTAGCCATTGTCTACACATTTAACTGCTGTTTGCCATGTACAGGCCAAATAACTTGATTACATTTGTATCTTTGAAATTCTCAGTAAGAGTAGAGGATTGCATTTTGGAGATAGTAAAATGTACTTAGCTTTACAACAATCTGCTGTTGCTGATTGTACGTCCTCAATTGGGTTCTGTTGCAGTCATTTATGACAGCCTTATAACAGTCAGAGTGACTGGGACAGGCAAAAATCTGGTGGTATTCACTGCTAACCACTCCTGTAAATTTTTAAGATGAACTGGTGCTCAGGACTGCAGTAAACTCTTAAGCTTTTCTCCTCGTTTCCTCTCATGCTTTAAGAATTCTAGTAAGAAACTTTGAACTGTTAAACTTGTTTCTTATTTGCATTTAGATTGCACTGTAAAGTTAACTCATTATACTATCTCTGCTGAATATAAAAAGCTTAAGTGAAACACTGGTTGTATTTACCTTGCTGTTTACATGACTACTCTGACCGTGTACACACATGTGCCTGAATGGTACTATAGGAGTTCAGTTAGCCTAGGCAAACCATTGATTTGTAATAATAGTAAATATATTAACAGTTTAATTTAGTAATTTACATTCTACATAACAGGGAAACAACAGTTACATTGGTCCTTGATATATATTGTAAAAAGAGGTTAAAATTTAATTTTTTTCTTTTTCCATACCAGTATAATTTGCTAAATTTTTTTTTTTTTCTCTCTTCCAAGAGTACACATAACTGGATACTTTTCTGATTTCTAAAGTAAGTTCTACTTTCTAGATACAAAATGCATGTTGAGATCAAATAATATTTTTTGTTTAGGATATAGAAATGTAGGATTTATTTCAAAATCTAGGATTTTTCAGCATCCTGGAATCTGGATTTAGGCTTCTGCAAATGATTCTAAAATACAAAGTAAATTAATTGCAATTATTTTCATAAGGTCATCTCGGAATGCAATTATGCCATGTTATGACTGTTTCAGACATTCAAGTGGCATGATTGTAAGTAAAGGATTGTAAGCAATGACTTCTTAACTATTTGTTTCTTTGTGTTCATAGTTTGATTTGCAATGCATATCCACAGTAATTTTTCTTCTCAGCTTTTAGTCATGCCAATTGTTTGAATTTAGACAATGCAAATCAGTTTTGAATCTCTGAAACCCTGTTACAACTTCCATTTTCTTGAATAAGTAGCAGGACGTTGATAAAACAGTTTCAATTCACTTTTTCCTCTTATGCTGGGAAGGTAAAAATACTAAAATACAAATAAAATCTGACTAGCTCTTAGCAGAGAGCTTCAAAATCTCTCTCTGGTTTGTTTTGTGCTACATAAATTCTTAAAGTACCCTAGCCAAAAATGGTAAATCTAGTACATCGTAAACTCTTTGTGATGGGTATAAACTGTGGCCTAAGCAAAATCTGTAAGTACATTTTAGACGGGTATAATTATGGAACTGTTCATCGTTAAATTGATGCGTTTACTATTAATGGCAAGAAAATTCCAGTCACAAATACAGAAAGGATACTGACTACAAAGAAGCAAACAAAGATCTGGTTTACTGCAAAATCACTTTTCCCAATTTGGGTACTGACACATTAATCATAAACTTGTCACTGTAAAAATATTGCTTACATGAGTGGTTGTCAGTCTTTATTAGAGTCAAGGCACCCCTCGGTAGACTCAAGATACCCTTCAGAAAATGTCAGATCTTACCTTTCTCTTGGTTTTTGATTGTGGAAAAATAATAGAGTAATTCTGTTGCAAAGACCCCAAAACAACCACAAGAGATTTTTGACACTAGATTCTTATTTGAAACCTCTGGATTTATCTTGTGAATGATGTGTAGGTATTTGCATTCTTAACAGTGCTAATATTGCACAGCTCTGTCCAACACACTTAAAAGAACCCCAAGGCACTTCACATTGCTGTGGCACCTTCATTGGGAATTGCTGTTTTTCACTAATCAAACAACAACATCCGACAGCAAGGAGAAATGATGTGTGTGAATAGGAAATAGGAACTGGAAGGCATGCAAAGAGCTTTTGGCAAAGGTTCATGAATAGTTTAGGTGTTTTCCAAGCATCTGCCACTTGTGATGCACAGACAGGGGCACTCTTGAATGTTCACACACAAAGTTTGCACATACAAAGTTAAACTTTGGGAACCTGTTGTTAACTATTTACTTGAGGTTTTTGGCTAGAGAATGAATCCCCATGTCAGTAAAATGATTCAAGGCTGGTGCTTGTTTCTTTTAGTAATTCTGTAAGTTATTACAGGAGGGATAACTTATTCAGGGCTGATCCTGCCTTGAGCAGGAACTGAACTAGATGAACTTGTGAGGTCCCTTACAGCCCTACTATCGTATGATCCTAAATATGCACATATGATAGAAACACAGGACTAAAAAGGCTTCCTGGACTACCGAAGTTGCAACATGCTTTGAGTATTTAGTTGAAGTGAAAGCTGCATATAAGGAGGGATTCTGTGATATAAATATGTAAAACGAAAATGACACCACTAGGGCTCATTTCCCAAACAGTGTTTGGAAAGCAACCAAACTCTAAATCTCATTTGTTCAGAGAGAGATGTTGGTTATCAGGGGTGTGCAAAGCGGGCAGTATTTGATTCTGATTCGGAGGAGTGATTTGATTCACTGATTTGGATCACTGTCCTGATTCGATTCAGCCAAATCTGAATCTGAAGATTCGATTCCGATTCAGAGAATCAGTGATTCAGCCATAGACACAGCTGTGGTTTTTTTCCTACATACCTCAAGGTACCAGGTGCAGTTTGTGAATGCTGAGATGGTAAGGCAGATGGAGCATCCCACGGGAGTGTGGGTGGGCCCCCCCGTGTGCTTGGCGGCAGACCCAGAATTGGGCTGGAAATACTTCTGGTCCATTTCTAGGTCCACTGCCGAGCACATGGGGGAGCCCCTCCTGTATCCTCCCAGGTTGGCAATTGGCTGTGGGGGGACCCTGGGTGCCCCCCCCCAAACCCAGAAGCCACTAGTCACTGAGTGGGAGCGGGGGTCCCCTGCACACTCTGTGGCAGACCCGGAAGTACTTCTGGACCACTTCTGGGTCCACCACCAAGCACGTTGGGGATTCACCCCCCCCGTGCTCCCGTGGGATGCTGCATCTGCCCCATCATCTCGGTGTTCATGAGCCACGCCTGGCACCTTGAAGTATATAGAAAAAAAACATATAAAGCTGTGTGTATGGCCAAATCATTGAATCTTTCCAAATCGAATCTGAGGCTTCCAATTGGATTCAGTTTCAGAATTTGGCCGCTGAATCGGGCTGAATCTCCTCTGAATCGAATTGGTGACCAAAACTTCACACAGCCCTATTGGTTATGGCCTTTAAATACATGGGTTGTATATCTCAATGGTTTATTGAACTGGCCTCTGTTGCTTGCATGGGTATTTTAATTTGCAATCTAGAGTTTAATTCAGAATTAAGAATTTATCATCGTGAAACAGTCATTACATAAAACATTTAAACCTTGGAGCAGGGAATGGAACTCAGGTCTTCCTCCACTGTGTAGCTTTGAGGCTACAAACATTTTCTCCTGCTTATACTGTCTGGTCCAATGAATCTTGAATTCCTTTCTATGCAGCTTAACACTTTCCACAGGGGGTGGGTGGAGACTACCCTCAGACAAAACAATATAAAAGCTGGTGGTTAGGGCACCTGGGAAGTGTCCTGTGCAAAGGGTTTAAAATCTCCTTGTTGGACTTAGGCCTTCCATATCTTGGGTGCTGCTACTGTCTCAACTGAAAGAAAGGAATGACTCCAGCTTACTTTTTGAAAAATGCCAGTTTGCTTTTTCAGAAGGTTCTAGGCTGTGATTCCCAAGCAGAGGGATGCATCTTTCTGCCCCACTTATCACAAGCACAGCTCTACAAAACTATGCCAATTAATCTCTGCCAGTCAGTATAGTTCACACAGTGAAAGCAAGTAACTTCCAAGGGTAGAATTTAGGCTGAACTGATTCATACCTTGACTCTGTTTCCTGCATTACAGAAATCTGAATTGTATTGTACTTGTTTTTCTGGAAGAGCCTGAGATGCAACTGGGCAAAGAAGTCTGTATTAATGAAATCATCTTCCAGTGAATAAATAATGTCATCCTTTAAAAAACTTTAGCTTCTCATGTCATCTCAAGTTTGTGGCTGGAATTCACAGGCTAGAGCAGGGGTGAGCAAAATGCGGCCCGTGGGTCGGATGCAGCCTGCCAGGCCATTCTATCCAGCCCGCGGGGCCCCTAAAAAATTGAGGAAGTTAATATTTATCTGCTCCTTGCTGCCTGTCATGTGGCCCTCCACCTGAAATAATTGCTTGCCCCTGGGCTAGAGGCAAGTCTGTGGCAAGATGAGAAAAAATTAAGAAAGCTTGAATGCTTGCTGACTATGTAGTGAAAGAAATCAGAACTTTTGCATACAGGGTAAATGTTTTAGAAAATCATGTCTCAGTATATGTACTGAACCTCCTACAGAAGTAACAGTAACTTAAATATATCATCTCTATTAGATGAGTGGAATTCAACAGAGCCTTAACAAAGCTATAGAATTATTTTATAGGATATTATATATAGTTTTAATACTTGTAGAATGGATTTATATTATTAGAAAAGGGCTCACAGAAGCAGGCAGACTATTCCACCCTGATTATCATACTTAAGAGATGTAAAGTATAAAGTCTGTAAAGTAAAGCAGGTGGGGTGGTGGAAAAACTTCAACAGTAATAGGGTTTTATTTTTACTGACTAGACCAGACTGATGCGAGTTGGCTTGCATTTGTTTAAAAACAAACTAACCTTTTTGCTAAAAACAGATGTGGTAAAACACTTCTAAATAATCACTGCTTCAACATTCAAGTAGTATGGATCTAGTAAAAGCCTTGTTTAGGAGTGTCAGAAGTGGTTCCTTTTTATGCATCTGGAAGCACTGCTTCTCTGAGATCCCACCAGCTGATCTGCTTGGAAACCATTCTAAATCTGGCTAAGTTATATCATCTTTCACTCTTTTTTCCAGAAGCAATACATTTCATTTAAATTTTATCCAGAAGATTAAGTAAATTGATTAACTTAAAATAAGCAAAGTAAAACTACTGCTACAGACTATACAGTAAAAATAGCTGTTAACTCGTATGACATTTGCCAAAGCTATTTTCCCTTCAATCTTATTTGTAACAATTTAACAGAGGAGTAATTATACTGCATCTTGGTAAATTTTATACATAGGAAAATATAAAGTAGTCTGGTTATGTCAGATATTCTAAAGTTAGGAAACCCTAAGTTTCATTGCTTGTACAACTGTAATTCTGCTGCCATGTACAGATTGAAGCAAGGATTTTGTTGGGGAAAACAAGTTATGTAGTATTGTAATTAAAATCTGTTCCATACTGAATAGGTACCAGCAGTGTGTCCAGATGAGCACGCACATGTGTTTCCCCAGGACAAATAGCAGCGGCACATAGTTGTGCCACTGCTACTTGTCCCCAAGGAATGCTTGTGCACACACACTCTGGCATGTGGCAAGTTGCTCTGGGCGGGGTAGAGGAGGCTGGGGTCAGGACCTGGGCTGGCCCCAGCAGCCTTACTTGGAGTCCTGGAGGCTTCCCAAGGCTCCAGCGATGATGACCTGGCATACATAGCCTGGCCGGCAGCCAGAGTGTAGCTGTGGCTGGCCAGGCTCTAGTTTCAGGCAGAACATGCTGCTGCTATGTGTGCTGCCCCACTTTTTAAAGGCATGGGCTTTTTTGACACTGGGATCTCCCGGTGTCAAAAAAACCTGCATGCTGCTAATTTGCAGCATGGTGAATGCCTTGTGCACTCATCTGGACGCTCCCCAGGGGTTCGAATTAAGGTTGCACAGGCAACCATGGCTAGTGCCTGGTGGACTTTGCAACATGAACCACATTCTTTCAATAAGCATTTTGAAAGGAAATAATAAACATACTTTGATATATAACTACAGTAGCCGTTCCCTTTCCTGTGTTAATGGTTTGAACTCTGATCTGAAGGACCACACAGCAGACTACTATTACTTCAACTACAGGCAAGTCAATACTAGCTGACTACAGAGGAAGGCTATTATCCCAGAAGAGGAATGAGATGCTCCCAAAACAAAGGATGTGATGCTGGGATCCATACTGGGTGTGGGAATCCTGGCCAAAGCTCTCCAACTCTCAATGCAGAATCTCTTCTGAAAGCCCCCACAGCCCTCATTGGTACTAGCTTATGTTGCTGCACCACCTGTCCAGGAATTCTTAAAATGTTCCTGGGTTGTTGGTTGTAGCTGTGTTGGTCTAAGGATACAAGCAGGCAAGGTTCTTTGGGTAGATGTGATATCTTTTATTAGACCAACAAAAATAGGGGTGATGATTGTTGAATTTGTGATGGAAATCAATCAGAGACTCTAGGTTTTCAGTCCAAATGAAGATGTCATCTATATATCTCATGTATAGCATAGGTTTGATGGTGCAGTTCTTGAGGAATTCTTCCAGCTGGGTGGGCCATGTAAAGGTTGACATACTGTTGGGCCATTTTGGTGCCCATATGCTATACCTGATGTATATAGATGACAACATCAATTGGGCTGAAAACCTGTAGGCTGATTGATTTCCATCACACATTCAGCAATCATCACCCCTCCATCAGACTCTTTCTTGAATACTCCACCAACATTTCCTTTTTAGACACCATGATCTATATCCAAAGGGGTAAGATACAAACCACCATATACAAGAAACCCACGGACCAACATACATACATATACACAGAACCACATTTACAGCCAAGTTCTTCGATACCACTGAATTTGCACTGAGGAGCATACATGCACTTGTCACCTCACAGATCTCAAAAGGACTTCCACCCAACAAGGATGCTCCTCCAGAGAGAGAGATTGCACTTTTGAAAGAGTCACCTGGATACCACGTGAAGAACTGCTGCAGCACAAAAAGAAAATCCCCGCAAATCGCACACAATTAAGTTATGATATACCACCCTTCAGAACCTATACAGAAAATCCTTAAAAAACTGCAACCCATACTAGAAGATGACCCAATTTTTAAAGAGATCTTTCCACTCTCATCACTAGAAACAAACCTATGACCCAAACCATACCAAATGAATCCAGACCACAGTTTTTGGCAATTTAAATGAGTTGCATCATCATAAACTAAACCCCATCCCAATGTAGTTTAGTTTGTGACCATGCAGCTTGGAACAGTGCAGCCATTAATCTGTCACTTTACAAGGTAATTTACTGAATGACATGTCCAGAGAGGTGATACTCCCCGTCTATGCGACACCGGTCAGGACATAGTTGGAGTAGTGCATCCAGTACTGGGCACCGCACTTCAAAAGGGATGCGGCCAGCCTGGAGAGGGTTCAGAGGAGGGCCACCTGCTTGGTGAGAGAGCAGCAGGACAGGCCCTACAAGGAGAGACTGAAGGACCTGAACCTGTTCAGCCTCAGCAAGAGGAGGCTGAGGGGGGACCTGGTGGCTGCCTACAAGCTCATCAGGGGGGATCAATAGCAAATAGGCAGAGCTCTTTTCTCCTCAGCACCACCTGGGGTGATGAGGAACAATGGTCCTGATGGAGAATAGGTTTAGGTTGGAGATCAGAAGGCAATATTTTATAGTTAGGGTGGCCAAAATCTGGAACCAACTTCCTAGGGAGGTGGTCCTTGCCCCTACCTTGGGCAAATTCAAGAGGAGGTTGGACGATCACCTGTCTGGGGTCTTGTGAACCCAGCATTCATTCCTGCCTGTGGCAGGGGGTCAGGCTAGATGATCTGGTCAGGTCCCTCCTGACTCTAGCTACTATGAAACTATCTCCACCAGTCCCACAATAACTACACCTCAAAAACAGAACCAACCTCATTCTTGGATCTTACACCTGCATCTCCAGAAATGTTATATTTCTCATGCAGTGCACCAAATGCCCTGATGGAAAATACGTAGGAGAACCCAAACAATGACTGCAGTACCAGAATGAATGCACACTGAAAGTCCATTGAAGATAAAAATGGCGGGTGCCCACTGCTCACAAGACAATCGCTCCCTCTCCAATCTCTTGGTTCTAATCCTCAAAGGGAACTTACAAAATACCTTTTGTAGACGAGCCTATGAACGTCACTTCATAAATCTACTGGATACAAAAAAATCATAGAATTAATATAGACATTGGATTTATGACATTATAACCTGCCTGACATCTAATTCACCAGGTAACCTGCCTGAAGCTGACTCCTTACATTCCTTCACACATTTCTCTCCCTTCTCTCCCTCTCCTCTTATCTCTACCCATTGTCTTCCAAACTTCTACTCATTTACATTTTCACAGACTTCTAGTTACACTTTAGCTTCTTTTCTATCTTGGAGAACTCATAACAGCTGCAGTCTCCCTATGCCTGATGAAGGGTGTTTGTGCCCAAAAACTTGCAAAGAACTTTTTTCCAACTATTTTAGTTAGTCTAATAAAAGATATCACATCTACCCACAGAACCTTGCCTGCCTAAAATGTCCCTGCTCAGTTATTATTTCTGTTGGACGCCAACATTCTCCTGAAGAACAATTTTAACAGTTTCCAAGTCAGCTAAAACTGAATGAATTTCATGGGACAAGTTGAAGGCATGTCCCTGCCAAACTTTGAAAGCCTGCTGTGAGAATTTTTACAAGGGAAAGTAGTAAGCAGCTCAGATGCGGGCCCTGTCACTCTGAAGTGACTTATTCCTTGGTTTTACTCTACAAACAGAATTGAAAAAACTAAAATTGCATTAAGACTTTGTTTTTTTCAGTGTGGCTTATTACACAGTAACAAACTGTCTTAAGTGTCTTTCTTACCCTTTCCTCTGTTCCTCCAAGCTTTGAAATCACACTTGAAACTGCACTCTACTGCTAATCCCGGACAGGTATTCCTTTGGAGTCCATTAATGCTGTTCCTTTTATTGCTGGACATACCGTGTTATGTTGCAACAGAACACGGTGACTGCCTTTGTTTTGTCAGAATACAGGTACTCTAAAAGGCATGGGGCAACACTGAAATGGGAGTTTTTTCTAATGAATCATGAATTAACAGTGGTTAAAATAGCAGAAGGGTTACAGTTGAGGGAGGCACTCCTTCCATTAAATTGTAGTTAGCTAACATTCTGTAAATTTACTTCTGCTTAGCACTGTGGTTTTCTTATTTTGACCCATCCACTCCCATCAGCTTCACTGAAACTGGCACCTGATTAACAAGATCAGCTGCTTACAAAAGAGCACATCATAACTTATGCTTATAGTGTCATTTCACTTTGAATAACGTAATCACAGCTATCAACTTAGCACATTTTCCTTTTGCTTCCCTCCCTCCCTTCATCAGCTTCCCTTAATTTTTGTTGTATTCCTTATATAAATAGTAACTTTCTGTAGCTGTTGACTGACTGACAGTACCCATCTGAAGAGCCTAACACTGATCAGAATAAAAAACACATTTTATTTAGCTATTTTATACACATGACTTTGTTCCAGAGGCCTTAATCACGCTAAATGAAAGACAGCATCTGAATCAAGCAATACTTCAATACAGCTGCTTAAAAACATTCTTATTATCACTACTTTCAGAAGAGCTACATCAGCGTTAGGCTTTTTTGACCCTGAAGCCACCAACTGCAATCCCCTGTTGATATCTCTGACTCAAAATTTTCATAATTACCTCTATACTCAAGTATGCTTGGGAACTCCATGATGAACATACAAATACATTTTATACAGTATATGTGTTCGGCTGAAAGAGAACCTGAGTGCCTTTGTATGCAGCCCCATTTCAAATGTTGTCTCCCCATGTGAGTGCTTCTTCACATATAAGCAGTATTATGGTGCACCCATAATCTTAGCGGCGATATTCTTTATTCAATATGCAGGATCTCTTCTTGAGGTGCAAATAATTGCTTGGGAGCGAGAGATTGTTTCTATTTTTGCGTAAAGTATCATTGCACTTGGATACTCTTTGGCTTGGTTGTAGATTGCCTTTCCTTGCTCCCCCATTTTGAATTTGGACAAAAACAGAATATGCTCCCACTTCCCAGGCTTTTTCTTGTAAGAACATTACAAACCAGAACATAACCTTCTTTATCAGGTACCAGTATTTCATGCTGTTCCTCATTAAGGTTGAAAGTCCCACATTTGACATTTCTGTTTTACAGGCTTTTGAATTTACAACAGGCAAACAAAGTGACTATTTCTATTAAAACAAAAAAGGAGTAAAGTACTTCTTAATTTTAACTTTTTTTTTTTTTTTTACTTTTCAATGTTGTTAGACCCCCTTAGAAAAATACGATTTTCCCCACATTTGTGGAAAATATTAAGATTTCCTATTGACACTGGCTTTTACTCAGCAAAAAGCACGGCTGATCTATATTATATTTTCTTGCCTGTTATCAAAAGCATTATTGAAAATATCATTAATGAAGTTAGCAAAACACCAAGTAATAGAGCATCTCATTAAAGCAGACATAAAACCAAAGTATTGGTTTTATAGTAGTATACTCCCAGTAGTATTCTTACTACAAATAAGGTTTTGTTATGGGTGTAACTGGGCAGAAGCAAAAATGTATAAGATATGAGCATGGGGGAAACCAGAGGATTATACAAATGCATATAAAGTAGTGTAGTAATCTCAGTTCTTACATTTGTGTTCATTATTTACAGGTATCTCCACAGCAGTTACTTACTTGGTCACATACAAGTGACCTGAGTTACTCCATCTTCCTGCTCAAATTGTCCATCATCCAGTTCCTTTAGCACACCATCACTGCTGCGGAACCCTGAGAAGCTTCCATACTGGGCAGATTCCTCCTTGATCCAGCATGATTTAGAAGGAGATAGATGAAACTCAACTGATGCATGTCCACTTTCTGCAGGGTGAGAAGTAGCTGTGTCTAATCCAATATTTCTGCTACAGACTTTGCTTTTCTCTTCACTTCTGCTCTGCCTTGTAGATTTCTTCTGAAGTACAAGAGATGTTTAATATTGTGTTAAAAGGAGAACAGGCCAAAAACTAAGAAAGACAGTTGAAAATGAGTTACTGATAACCATTCCCTGAGACTGATTTTTCAGCTGGGTGTGTATTCACATATAGATATTTCTTTAGCTTGCTCATGAAAATGTCACGAAGGACAGTGTCAGAAACCTTACTAACATTAACATTTATAATATCTACCCCTCTTCTCATGCAGCAGGCCAGTTACTCTGTCAAAAAAGAAAATAGTTTGCTTTGACAGTCTGTTTTTGAGAAACCCATATTGGCTGCTTTTATTACTTTTCTGCTTTCTAGATAACTGTAAAGTGATTATTTAATAATTTGTTCTAATACCTTGCTAGGGATAAAGTTAAGTCTATGGCCGTGTATAGACGAAAAAAAGAGGCATGTGTGCATGACACTTTAAAATGAGCTAAATGCCCTTGCACTGCTTTAATGGTGTCAGTGTTTGCACGGGTTGGTGGTGTATTGCACATCCATCCCAGCTGCTGTAGGAAATTCGGTGGAGTTTTAGTTTGCTGCCCCTACAGCCATGGAGTGAAGCACCGGGCTCTGTGCAGCTCCACGGCTCTGCAGGAAGCCCTGCAGGCAGCTTGGCAGCAGCCCGGGAAAGCAGGCTCCACCCAAGAAAAGTGGCGAGCCTGATCTTTCTCCCCAACCCCGGAGCCTGCTTGCCTGCCTGAGCTGCGTGGGGGCCCAGTGCTTCCCTCAATGGCTGAAGTGCCTCCCAGGACCGCCTGAGCCAGGTGCCCGTGGGCGGGTGCCACCTGGGGGGGGGGGGCATCGCTGCTAGGGGGGAGCCCCACCGCTGCTAGAGGGAAGCACCAGCCCCTCCCACAGCCCAGGGACTACTCTGCCTGCTGGCAGCTCACCCTCCTCTCCCCTCCAGAGAGGCAGGTAAGGTGTGTGCATGACACAGGGATTTAACCAGTTCTAAACTGAAGTGGTGGTTTTTAAAACCCACTGCTTCAATTTAGGGCCACCCTTTCATCTACACACACCCTATGATTCCCTGGATCTTCCCTTTTCCTGGTTTTCAAAGATAGAGGATGTGGGACTGAAGAACCTATGAGTACTCACAAATAATCACAAAGAGTTTACAAATTTCTTCAGCTACTTCAGTAAGCTCTTAAGAATAAATTTCATTGCACCCTGCTGACTAGAAAGCATTTATTTTCTTTCAGTATTCTTTAACCTGTTCTAGCCATACCTAGAGCATGACCTCTTGTCTCCCTCCCTGTTAGAAGTAATTTTAAATAACTGGTCATAACCTTTTTGATGAAGACAAGCAAAGAACATGCTGAATACTGCAGCTTTCTCTCTCCCATTTGTTATATGCTTTCTTTTCCCATTTCATAATATACCGATATTTCCATTTTATCTTCCTCTTAATATACAGAATGAAATAGAAATAGAACCTTTCTTGTTGCCTTTTATGGCCCTGCCAACTGAACCTCATTTTGCACTTTAGTCTTTTTGATTTTATCCCTACGTGCTTGTGTTTCTGTTCACTCACAGGTACGTGTTCTTGGTTCTGATTTTTATAGGATTCCTTTTCAATTTTCTGGCCATCGAAGATTTCCTACTGTAGTCATAATGGTCTCGTACACTGCTTTCTGTCTTTCATTTGCTGGGGATGTTCCTCTATTGGGTATTTAATGTAGTACCTTTCAGAAAGTGCCAGCCCTCCTGCATTTTTTTTACCCTTCAGATTATTTTCCCCAGAAACCCTACATATCTGTCCTCCAAGTCTGTTGAAATTGGTTTCTCTGGAGTCCATTTTCATTAGGCTTCTGTGCCCATATTTATTCTCTCTCAGAACAGGGGTTTTCACCCTTTTTAAATAAGTGCACCCCTGTGGGGGGGTGGCAAGTGGCCAGATGCTGAGCGGGGGTGTGACGAGCGGTGGCAGCGCAGCATCTGTGCAGCCCTGCTCCTGTGAGGCAGTGGCATGGGCTGGTGGTGCTCTGTCCCTGCTCACCTCTGTGTACCCCCTGGGATCTTTCAAAGTACCCCCAGGGGTATGCGTACCCCTGGTTGACAATACCTGTCTTAGAAAAATAAATGCTCTCATTTCATAGAATCATAGACAAGCCCAGTGGTGGCAGTGGCTTCCATTTTTGAGCCCCTTACAAAAATGCCCCACTCACCCATCCTTACTTATACTACTGGGTTGTCACAGAAGTCACTTGGAAATATGATTGAGGGGAGGTAGTGGACCCTGGAGAAAAAGAGAATCGATTTTGCCTGCGTTCTACAGTGAAGGGATGGGAATCCTGCAGGAAGGAAAGAAAGGAAAAAATCCTTTCCTTTCTTCCCTTCCTGCAGGATTTTCCATCCCCTCACTGTGATCCCTTCCCCTCCTCCCCCCAAAATGGTGTATAGTTCAATGTCAGAACTTTATCAGAGAGAGGTAGTTGGTCATGTTAGTCTGAAGTCAGGCAGAAGGCAGGGTAGATGTGCACCTTACAGACTAACTAAATCAAAGATCAGAGCATAAGCTTTTGTGAGCATGAACTCACTTCAACATATACTGCGAAAGGACATGCACAGAGCTTGTGCATGAACTGCCTGTGCATTTCCTTTCCTAACATCTTGTGAAGTCAGCGTGGGCTCATGAAAGCTTATGCTATATATCTCTGATTTAGTTAGAACTTTATCAGTCAGGCTTGTTTTTCTGAGTTATTCCAGTCTCCTTCTGAACCATTTGCTTAGAACAACATATGTTACAGCTATTATATGGAGAAAAACCTTAAGACAATATGACCCTGTAAATCAAGATGCCTTTGAAATATTACACCTTTTGAAGCAAAGAAAACATGGTCTATGATTTCTTGCAATACTTTACCTTCCCATCACAAAGCCTGAGAAAAGGGAGAGAGAGAAGAATCTAGCTTCCGGGGGGGGCCGCGCAGTATACGTCTGTGTGTGTAGCATTTATGGAGCTGCAGCACATATCTCCTAACTTTTCCCCTAAGTGGAAGTACTAACTCAGCTTAAGAACTGTGCCCTGTGTTGCTAGCTTCTCAGATGAGCAGGCTATATAAACCACTTGTGCTCTCTGGCCTTATGATCTCCCAGCATCAAGTCAAAGAGTCCTAGCTAAGTGGAACTGCCTCTTGGTAGGGCTTCTACATCCTTCATAACTGAAATTAACAAAAAACTTTTCCTATGTTACCAGTCATACCTTAGAATACTAAATCTGAGAGAATTAAAAACCTTATTTCTAGTATTAATGTCAGTGGAGCCCACTCTCATGATTTTATTCCAAGTGCTATGCTTCTGTAATTACATTATTACTCAAAAACATCCCCTTTGTAAAATAAAACAAAAAGTGCATTGCTAGCTCCTTTGGAGCCATACCTAGAGCATGACCTCTTGTCTCCCTCCCTGTTAGAAGTAATTTTAAATAACTGGTCATAACCTTTTTGATGAAGACAAGCAAAGAACATGCTGAATACTGCAGCTTTCTCTCTCCCATTTGTTATATGCTTTCTTTTCCCATTTCATAATATACCGATATTTCCATTTTATCTTCCTCTTAATATACAGAATGAAATAGAAATAGAACCTTTCTTGTTGCCTTTTATGGCCCTGCCAACTGAACCTCATTTTGCACTTTAGTCTTTTTGATTTTATCCCTACGTGCTTGTGTTTCTGTTCACTCACAGGTACGTGTTCTTGGTTCTGATTTTTATAGGATTCCTTTTCAATTTTCTGGCCATCGAAGATTTCCTACTGTAGTCATAATGGTCTCGTACACTGCTTTCTGTCTTTCATTTGCTGGGGATGTTCCTCTATTGGGTATTTAATGTAGTACCTTTCAGAAAGTGCCAGCCCTCCTGCATTTTTTTTACCCTTCAGATTATTTTCCCCAGAAACCCTACATATCTGTCCTCCAAGTCTGTTGAAATTGGTTTCTCTGGAGTCCATTTTCATTAGGCTTCTGTGCCCATATTTATTCTCTCTCAGAACAGGGGTTTTCACCCTTTTTAAATAAGTGCACCCCTGTGGGGGGGTGGCAAGTGGCCAGATGCTGAGCGGGGGTGTGACGAGCGGTGGCAGCGCAGCATCTGTGCAGCCCTGCTCCTGTGAGGCAGTGGCATGGGCTGGTGGTGCTCTGTCCCTGCTCACCTCTGTGTACCCCCTGGGATCTTTCAAAGTACCCCCAGGGGTATGCGTACCCCTGGTTGACAATACCTGTCTTAGAAAAATAAATGCTCTCATTTCATAGAATCATAGACAAGCCCAGTGGTGGCAGTGGCTTCCATTTTTGAGCCCCTTACAAAAATGCCCCACTCACCCATCCTTACTTATACTACTGGGTTGTCACAGAAGTCACTTGGAAATATGATTGAGGGGAGGTAGTGGACCCTGGAGAAAAAGAGAATCGATTTTGCCTGCGTTCTACAGTGAAGGGATGGGAATCCTGCAGGAAGGAAAGAAAGGAAAAAATCCTTTCCTTTCTTCCCTTCCTGCAGGATTTTCCATCCCCTCACTGTGATCCCTTCCCCTCCTCCCCCCAAAATGGTGTATAGTTCAATGTCAGAACTTTATCAGAGAGAGGTAGTTGGTCATGTTAGTCTGAAGTCAGGCAGAAGGCAGGGTAGATGTGCACCTTACAGACTAACTAAATCAAAGATCAGAGCATAAGCTTTTGTGAGCATGAACTCACTTCAACATATACTGCGAAAGGACATGCACAGAGCTTGTGCATGAACTGCCTGTGCATTTCCTTTCCTAACATCTTGTGAAGTCAGCGTGGGCTCATGAAAGCTTATGCTATATATCTCTGATTTAGTTAGAACTTTATCAGTCAGGCTTGTTTTTCTGAGTTATTCCAGTCTCCTTCTGAACCATTTGCTTAGAACAACATATGTTACAGCTATTATATGGAGAAAAACCTTAAGACAATATGACCCTGTAAATCAAGATGCCTTTGAAATATTACACCTTTTGAAGCAAA